TCTATTAAAATGTTCCAATATTACCATAACGGAGAGGAGCACTCTTTCCTTTATCATTGTCAAGAGACTGTATAGGTACAATGTTTCTATTCATTATTATATACATAACATCAATCATAATGATTTTATACAAAGCACAATCACAAGCTTCATCATACTCAAACAGTTATACTTTAAATGATATCATCTATAATTCTACATAAGCGATATTAATGGGTACTTTTATTTTTCTTAAACATTTGAAAGTTCTATTTCATCGTAAATTTGTAACATAAAAAATCAAGTCATTGTCAAATAACTTCATTGTCTATTGAAGTTTTATAAATAAAGATTTAGCAATTATTAAACCTATTCAATTCAATCTCATTCTATTTTATCCAAGATTCTTGATAAATTCGACATCAATTTAAATCTAAAGTAAACACCCAATAGGCCTAATTTGTTTGCAGCCAACTCGACGCTAAATATTAATTGTTCGATTAAGATAGCGTGGGTTGTACCAGGGTTTCAGAGCACTGGAATAGGTTCATTTGACTGTGCTAATAACGGCTTGGCCGCGGTAATCAACGGCCTAATGGCTGTCGTGCCCTCGCTCCCCGGGAAACGCTTTGTTCTCGATCTCTCGACCAACTATTATAAATTCTCCGTCCCTCTGCTGAACTCCGGGTAGTTCACAGGAATTACATATCAAAGGAAGAAGCGCTGCCGCCGCTGTGATTGAAAAAGTGCCATTTAAATTCATTGAGATTTTATCCTCATTGGTATTCGTTTTACTATTTACCTGCTGAAAAGTTATGAACTTTAATAAATGTACCACATAACTTATAGCCACTAAGGCACAATTCAATTAAAATGCTTTAAAATTTATAACTAAATACATAAGATTGTTTCTCTTTTGTTTTGAATTCACGCATCTGCCATGTTTGCCTCTTCGTTTCTTACATTGATAAATAATATCTTCTCACATTAATGTTTTTTTATTTCCGTATTAAATTATAATCTCACTTGAAACGTCTCACCCCTCCTAAAGTCCCAACAGAAAAAAGAAAGCATCTTAACATTTGAAACGCATGTTGATAAAACGTGTTTAAATATTCAGTAGCTATACTACCGTTTTATGAATAAAAAAAAATACAACTTAACAGGAATCGTGAAAACAGTTACAATGTTAAATTTTTACTCCTTTTAATTTTTACTATTTCATGTAAAGTTTTTAATAAGTATATTAAATAAGCTCCACATTCGTGTAGTTCATTTTATCAATTATTGTGTTGTATCCGCTCGTTAACGTTCAGTTAATTAATGACCATTATGAGAATCAGTGAGAAGTTTTATATCACAAGCATTAAATGTCCGCTAATTGGTCGTTTCGTACGGAGTGTACCTACCTAAGGTACATTGACATAATTGTTGGCGCGCAGAACCTCATAAACCTGTCTCGTGGGCATTTTTTGAGCCCGAAGTCGGATGCCTCCATGTTTAATGCGAGGCATTAAGGAATTAATTCCAACCAACGAGACGGCACCGTTTCGCCGCATGTGAATGATTAAAACTCTGTAATAAGTCCGTGATGAAATTATAACGCGGCCGGAGTCGTACACGGTAAACAATATTTAATTTCCGTGAGATCCTCGACGCCATTAGCCGAAAATAAATAAGCTCGAAGAGGGCGTGAATTACCGCCCTCTCCCCCCTAGCCCCATTCTCCCTTACAACCCCCCGCGAGCCAGCGGGCGGATAAATTTGGAAAGTGGCAACAGAAGCGAGCAGATGGTGATTTATTATCGTGTTTTATAATAATTACGAGCGGGGCCGGGGCGCGGCATTGTGTTACGGCCCTCCTGATGTGCCCATCCGAGCTCTCCTATTTCAACGGTAGGTACGTTTTATTTTCAACAATATGATGGACGGTCGTGTCTTGCAGATAAACATTAAATAACGACTGGACAGGCCCCCAGATTTACCCGCCAAGGGTAACATGGAATCTGGTAATAAAGCTACTTATCATCCATCGCATCGCTATCTAACTTACACAGGGGGAATTGTTGATAACAAAACCTGCAGCAGAACTCTAGGCAAGATAGATCTAGGAAGATAGATTAATTGTGTAACGGACGTTGTGAGTAAGGGTTATAAAGCATTTCTAATTTTGACAATAAATCGGTTATTAATACGAAATTGTATAACTAATCTGTTTACTATACGAAATGACAGAATAAATAACTGTTCTTAAACTATAAACAATATAAAAAACAAACGTTTAAGTAATCGGATGAAGCTTTCTATTATCGATGTTTTGAGAGAGCAAAGCATCTTCTTAATAGATTATTACAAGTCCAAAATAACATTGAAAGCGACTTATTTTTACTATCTTTGTATTTAGAGGAAAAAACTTGAAAACCCCCTCAAGTTTTAATAATACGACAACGTGTGTATCTAATAACAGCAAAACTTATCAGACTGCGACATTGATTTTAAATCAAAAAGTCAACATATGAATCATTTGGTTTATTTCCGTCGTAGTTGTAAACTATAAAAGTTCTTACGTGGACCTACCTATACTTGACATTTTTGAAATACGCAAATTTTTAATGCAAAAATACATATATTAATTTCTACTGCGGCCCAAAAATTCAAAGGATGATAAACACATAAACAGAATGACCAAACACAATTTTTTGACAGAAGAAAAGTTTAAATAAGAACTGTATTTTTTAAGTAATTAATTTGTGTTAAAAGTGGTTGTAACAGCAGTAACTGTGTGTGCAACGGCCACAAGCTACATAAAGTTAAAAGGTGCTATTATTCAATGAACACAAGACGATATGAATCGGAATATTATCGTTTATGTGTCCTAATTACGCAACAGAAGGTTTATGGACCGCCGACAATTAGTGTAATTGCTTTTGTGGTTTGTCTGTCGCTGTAGATTCGTGTAGTGAAATTGAAATGTAGCATTAAATAATAATGAATTATTATTTTGTTATACTCTCTCTTTACAACTTGTTTTATGGTTTGTTAATACAAGGTTTATGAATAAATACCGATTTAAAATAATCTGGTTGTAGTTTGTCCTAGCCGGATGACTGAAGTGGCTGGAACACCTAATTTTAAAAATAAAACAGAAAATAAACTTACAAATATCAAAAAACCTTTCTCAACTACCCATCAGCATTGGCCCAAATAGTTATTAGAAGTAAAAACCGAATTCCGCTTGTTTCTCCCACAACTGCGCGACGAAGTTTTGGGTGGCTTTGGTCCTAAATGCGCAAAAAATTTGCGTTCGTAATTCGAATTAGTTCTGTTGTAATGAATTAGTGGGCTTCTTGTTTAAAGACTCTAGACGATAGCTTTACGGGTAACTGGACACGCTAAAAGAGGTTGTGGTAAACGAAAAATTTGTTATTATTCAAAGTTCGAACGTTATTATGGCGCATTTTAGTACCAAAGCTACCCGAAGGCTCGTCACGCAGGCGCAGGTGTGGGATAAGCATTACAGTAGTTTCCGAAACCTACAACGCGCGTTAAAGTTGGCAGCTGCCGCGTTCCACTATGTTGTCCCACTCGCACCTCAACAAGAAATACTACCTAATAGATACCGATATAGACAATTAACTGTCAAGGAAAGACGAGAACAAGATTTTCATTAACGTTTTTATCGTAGCTATCATGTCCGATGAATCGAATGAAATGTTGATGCCATTCAAATAAATCAATTCACGATGTGGGCACCAATGTCAAAGGGGGACCACCGTGTTTTTAATTGCCAATAAAAATACTTGAGCTATTGGCCCCAATAATGGTCAATTTACTTACACAACGTGCATGTTTGCCAATTACGATGAGTTTTAATGTCCCATCATCTTGGTTAGTTGACGAGGCGACTGCATTATCCTTAATAATGTCTTGGGAGTCAAGGCAATAAGTGGACGGCTGCAAAAGCTGTGTAAATTTTCTTGTTTTTTTAACGTTCTACGATTGGTATCTATCTTATTACTGTCACACCTTGGATATCCTGATATGGGAGCTTGGTATCATAAAGGATAAGGCGTGGGACTGAAAATGTTGTTTACCCCCTTTTTAAATCGTGTCGATTTTGATGATTGACGTAACCTAAGTAATTAAGTTCTTATTCTCGACGCTAAACAATATACTTTTCTATCACAAAAACTTGATGTAAGTGTTCAAGTTTTTGGGATAGGAAAGTTTAGGTACAACAATAGGGGAGACAAATTGAAAAACTAACAATCGATAACTAACCACTTTTATACCATTTGGAATAACTTATTTTAAGGTTGATGTCAAAAATACCTGATAAATATTATCCAAAACAATAAAAATTGGGTTTAATACATACCCTGTAATAAATATGTGTTTGTTTGCAACACTGGCATAAAAATAATTATTGTTAAAAACCATTGTTAAAATTATTACAATGTACTCGTAAAATAGAAAGAAGCAGTCTAGCTACGTTTGTTTTGTCAATGACAACGAGTTCTGTTATGAAATTATAATTTTAAAAGAAGTGATAGGGTTCAAGAGCTAAACAGTATGGAAATTAAAAATAATGTTAAGTAAAGTTTTTGAATAACATTTTCTTGAACATTTTTTCTCGATCCTATTTATGACATCAACATACTTTATGCCTACGTTTATGTGTTAGTGGTATAATATTTTCATTTTCATTTCAAGGCATATAGCCTTTCTTATTTTAGTTTTGACTTTATAGCTCATTTATAATGATAAACCAGTGATTGTGTCTTTATGACCGTCAACTTTATTGACTGAGCAAATCTCATTATTTCATTAATCAATTATATAGATAGCTACCTTTTTAATAGGAACTAAAGATATTATCTAAAACGGGTGTTTGTTGAAAAAAAACACAATCACACTGGTGGTTAGATGAACGCGAAAGCAAATGAAGTACCAAGCGTGCATAAGCGTGCAGAGATGGCGCTACGCTACGGTGGTGCGTTCGTGCGCTAGTAACAACTCACCACCTTCCGTCTCATGCCACACGATGCCCTCGAGCGTGACCGAGGTACCAGGCTCGCAGGGCCCGAGGCAGTCAGGCTCGGTGATGGTGCCGACCGACGTGCCCACGCACACTTCTGCCGTCTCCTAAACAAAGAAAAGAGGATACGAATTAGCATAAAGTTCGATAAAGAAACAAATTATTAGAAAAAAATATGTTTTCACGCACACCAATAAATTCAATAAAAAAAAAAATTGATGCTACAAGAGAATGTTTATAAGACATTTTTTTTAATTTAACGGAATGTAATGAATATTTACACCACATCCTTTGATTATTTAATAATTAAAGTCCATATCCATAGATGCGACGGCAAAGCATCGAAGGCTCAACGGTTAGTATAAGACAGAAAACAATACATCTAACAATCAATAAATAAATTAACGATTTCCAAGTAGACGTTTTTTGTTTTGACTTTCGAAGGGATTTGATAGAGTCAAAAACGACGTTTTGCTGGCTAAGCCCTGTGAATAGGATTCGCTTCGCCCTGAGCTTGCTTTGTCTATTCGCGGACTATCTAGCGTGTGTGTCAACAGTTTCTTCAACCTTAGCTTGGTTTTCTGATAGCCTATATGTATATTCGAGTCTAAGCCTTACCACACGCGGTCAGGATTAAGCCAAGGTTCAATTTTGGGCCCTTTATTGTTTTTGATCGTGATAAATATACGACCTCCTTTCTGTTTTTTTATCGTGCCAGTATTTAATTTAATGCTGACTAGAAGCTCTATGAAGAGAATTTTGTAACGAATTGTATGGCTCTTCAATGAGAATGATGAAATATACCAATGGATCAAAGTCCACAATATACAATTTAATGGTGAAAAATGTCACTGGAAAACTTTTTGTGCAGTCAAATGAGGTCATAATTTGACAGTGACAATATCCAAGCGAAGCCTCAAAAGTTATAGTAAAATATAACTTTAACTGGCTTTTTGGTGCAACTCAGACTAAGTAAGCTATATCAAATCAGAATTCAATTACCAGTAATGCTTACAAATCTGTCTTAGATCAGAGGGATTTCATAATTAATATTATATGACTGCAATCATTAAATGCTGGTTCAAATGACTTGCTCATAAATTTCATCACTTTTGATTGAACGATGCAATATAACTTTACTGGCAAATAAATGATGTCAATTAACAATCGCGTAAGTGAATAAACCTCAAAACATTAATTAGTTTTGTAAATTAGCTTGCCCTATACAAATTACGTTTATTGTCTTGTCTACTTAACCAATTGCAACATGGTCGCGTGGCCATATTGAATCAGGCACTTCCAATTCTCACAGTTACAATATTCTATACATTGATTCCATTATTAAAATAATTGAGATATATTTTTAACCGTATTCTCGTTGAGATGGAAAATCATGTGCTTTCAATTAACATGTTACATTTTGAATGGTTAAAATATTAATTCCAACCGGGTCTTGTTAACGCGTGCGTGAAATGAGACGCGCTGCTGAATTTATTTGGTAATAGCTTCTGTTTCGAAATTGCAGATAAAATTGTCTACTGGAAACATTTGTTAATCAGTTTAACCACACAGTTGCATGCTATTTCATCGATATTATTGTATGTATATTAACTATACGGAAATTACTTTAACTGTACATATTATGTATAACATATCAATTGATCTTCAGGCTGATCAATATATATATTTTTTTGTATTACGCATTTGGATGGAAGGAAATCATGATAATAACTGTTATAATTCTTGAAGTTTTTAAATTCTAACTTCATTTCATTGTTCATAGTTGTATAACTAATGATTGTCTTATTAATAAAGTTGTAATAATTCTATATCACGAACTTATATTGCAAATTAATAAAACGAAAGCTTAACCGAACTTCATAAAATACCTTGTTTCTTACCAATTTTTGGAGAACCTGCCTATTTACTATCCATTCACTTTAAATCTTAGACCAATATCCATAAGTTTGGAGAGTGACATGAGTAAAGACGACTCAATTTTATAAGTATAAAGAATTAATGCGTTACCCTTAAACTATCAAAATTCTCATTACACAATTTTTCCCACGGCAAAACTAACAATTTATTCGGTTTTCACAAGGAAGGAAAAATCATAACGAGCCGAGTTAACTCTGGAAGTCAACAGGGTTGCATAAATGCGAAGAGCGTTTACGGCGAACGTAGCGACGTGGGACATAATCAAATGAAGCCATTTAAATTCAGCGCCTGGTACCAGAACACGCCAGCGATATAAGCCCGTCCCCTTCACGCGCACAGTTAATGGCATCACAAATTGTTGAACTACAGCACTCCCACAGAATCGGGGATGTCGACTCTCAAAATGTTATTGGAAAAATAACAAAATTTTATGAAAGCCGACACTCCGAACAGATATTATCTGCGTAATAACCGTTTCACGTTCCAATGACAAGTAGGGTATCATTTTATCGTTATAAGTTGTCGCTAGATCGTCGTATAATTCACAGGGGTAAGGTGTTTCCGAAGTGGATATTGAAAAGGACCGTAATTGCGAAGATATTGAATTTAAATTCTCATTCTCACGAAATGTTAAGAACCATGAAATATAATGGAGTTTCGTGGAATTTAACGAGATAGGCTGGCTGGCTTTGTCTCAAGGCACCACTTTGACTTTATTTATAAGAGCACATTAATTAAACTACGCTGTTATGAGAAATGGTAACTGAAAGTTATATTTTTTTTTATCAGAAAATAGAAAGATCAATCTTTTTATATAATTCCTGCTGCTACTAGTCCTAATTTGAGAATTCGTTAGTCTTTACGACAGTTTAAACAAAATGGTACACCGTACCACATCTCGAATGTTGACTCGGAAACAATACATTAAGACACAGTTCGGCAAGCACCTGAATAGATGATGCATGAGTGTGTTTGAAGTAATTTGTTTTTAGAGAAATGATCGTCTCCATCAATACGAGGCGAAGCACCTAAATAAACACGGGAACAATCTTGGCGAGCGCTCTGTTGCGTTTACATTGGAGATGATGCCATATGTCTAGACACCTTAAGAGCGATAACAGTGCACCGATAATCTTGTGCCCACGCGACGTCTATAAACAAAATTAAACGCTTTATTGTTAGTAGGATGACAAATGTGCTATCATCTCGCCCACGACTCGAGCCACGGCGAAAGCTCGACTCTCAGTTTATATGGACAGTTTACCCGCAAACATATTAATATTTCGACACGCCATATCGCTATTAAATCCTTTATGGTCGGCGCGAACGAGTCGGGTCGGTCGGGCTCGGGGAGGCATTGTGCGGGCGCGGTGGGGTCGCTACGCTACGCGAGGGGTACGACCAGCTGCCGTTTTATCTTGACAAACGAACGAGCGTCGCCGCATATTGAGAACTGAGAACAAACTTTACGCAGGCTCGAGTTCCAATGACACCGCCTCAGTAATCGACGGCGGAGGTGCAAGGCCGGATCCGAATACAATAGCGGAGTAAATCAATTCACGGGCGTTGGAGACAAAAGACCGCAAAGAGTAGTGAAGTAATGAGCGAGCGTAGCGACTCCGATTAAGACGCCGCGCCGCCGAAGGAAATCGAGATCTCTCATTGTAACGCATCGCAGGAACGCGATGCCAACGACTGTACCGCAAAAGGAAACGGTACGAAGCCGACACCATTCAACTCGAACTCAGCCAATCAGAATTCTCACACAAATTAAGAATCGCGCGAAACCACCGCTTTAGCTACAACCTACAACGATTCTCCAGCAACACAATGTCTAATGTAAACGAATTAAAAATTAATTTAGGAAAATGGCACGTTTTAGTGCTTGCGTTTATGGCATGGTGTTGTTGCCAGAGACGATAAATATCCACCCACCGTCACCGTCTTGTTTGTACACCACCTCCCGCGGGTCGGTACATTAATTTCGTGCTATGTAAAATAAGTGGCGACAAAGAATGTTCGTGCCAACTAATGGGTTGTTGGCTGGAACGCATACTTGTTCCGGATCAGAACCCTGCTAATGCCAAGTGATGCAAGAACCGATCTAGAAAGGTATCGCAAAATGTCGCAGCATCTGTGGACATTTAATCTATCGTTTACTTTGACGATCTGACAGTCTTGAAATCTGACCTCGTATTTGGTTACGGTTGGATAAAGATGAGAAACAATATTTTCCGATATCAAGTTAGAAGTTTGGATGTTGTTTATGGTCACGCCGTAACAACGTCGTTATGAATAACTTCCACAACCCAAGTAATCTATAGCTACACTTAGGCATGTACCTACTGATTTGAGAGCAGTACAACAGAACTACGGCTACGTAATGTCTTCCAACAATTTATCATACTGACAGAATAGATGACTTTGAGACGACAGTTTGCGATATTAAATAGGTCGATACAAATTACGATGATCATTAACAACACACAATTTCCATTAGTTATAATTTCAAAGTCCGTTTATTATGATAGGATATTTAATCACAGCGGAATTAAACTCATTGTGAATATCAAAGTGGACTTAATTATTCGCTTCTGTAATGAGATTATAAAATACTGAGCTGAGAGCGGAGCGGCTGATGCCACGAGGACGCGGTATAAATAATAATTAGTAGAACCCGACCCTTGGCAACCTGACCCTACTCGGCGGCTTGATTAACTTTTAACACAATTCGATTTGATGCTACATGCTAATACGTAAGCTTCGTTTTATTAAATCTAGTTCCCCTTTTAATTTTTTCGATTAAAGCTTTTAGATTGAATAGACTTTTGCAACAATATCCTCTGATGATGTTAAATCATACAAAAAGGACAGTATTGTGCAAATAAAAAAAACTTTTTTAAAACAGGCGAAGTATGTTATATAAGGTATGTATAGAATATTATCATATAAGGGCTAACCAGGAACCTGCCTCAGCATTAGCTAGTGCGACTTTGTGTCGCAGTAATAATTCTGGGAAAATGTATGATGGAATGGAAAAAAGTATTAATTTTGAAATGACTGATATTGTCACCGGCGCAATTATTTATTAGTAATAAAAAAACATTTAAGTTAGCCATAACTTTTACAAATAAAAAACACTAAAAGTAAACAAATGTTAGTACTAAAATAATGCCAAGTTACGGGTAGGTTTGGTATAATTTGATATTAAATAGAATTATATTTCGAGTAAGAAATGGTTAACTCAGTGTACATTATCATTAGAATTTAATATCTGTGAACTAACGATAATTATGTAATCCATGGTCCAACAGACACAATTTATTACAAATGGACGCCCGTCCATACAATCATAATCAAGCAATACCATCTATCTCTGAATCGGAATGCACGATTGTGAAACGAATATCG